ATTGTTCTTGATTTCAGTGGTGTCTTGGCTTATGTGATTACTTAAAAGTGGAAAGGGAAAAGTTTCACAAATCTTTGTCAAACCATTTCTCACTTTAAAAAAATTATTTTTGCCCTGGATGCAGAATTAAGCTTCTAGGGTTACAATGACAGAGAAACTTAAACCTTAATGAATGACCAATACATTGAATGACTAAGTACAGCTTGGCCTAGTGTATTTTTCCCCCTCTTATTCAACATGATGATGAGTTATGGTTTTTGGAAACTACTTTATAATTTGCATTAGAGAACCAGAAATTATTTACTGTTTTTCTGGGATGGGAGCCCTAATCACATACCCAACTAAGACTTAGAGATTAGTTAACTGGGAGGTTATACTTTGTCCTTACAAGTTTTCTCCAGGAGTCTGGTACCAATTCTATTTCTAACCTTTGCTGTTGCTACATGAAAGTTGTGAAATAATGTCAGAGTCTGCTTTTAAGGAAAACATCTTTTCAGAATGAAAGTGCTAAAGAATTTGGACTGATCACTTGAAACTCTGTCAAATTACTTTAACCTTCAGATATTCTGTGTTGCTTCTGACTCACTGAAAAATAGCTCGCCCCAGGTTGTTCTTAAAAAGGACTCCATTTTATTCCTGAAGGAAGCAAATATATGTGAAATGCTTTCAAACATAACAATTATGAATATTATCATTAGATGTCAGGCAGTACCTAATGCATTCGGATTCCTTTTATGATAAAGTCTGTCATTTCTTGCTGGAACTCAGGGTGTGCCATTTCTTAAAAATCAGGTCCACACCAGGAGTCACTTGGCTGGCTCATTCCGAGAAAAAGCACCTTGAAGATCATTTTGTCCTTCCCAGTTGTACACCTCATGCAGCAGCACTTTTGTTGATTAAAGATAATTTGACAAATGGAATTTCAAAGAGGATTATTAAAACAGCTAGCACCAAGTGTAGTTCAGAAATTCTGGAACCTACAGAAATGACTTCTTCAATGCATTTTTTAATAATTTATATTTGCCATCTTAGATGCTGAGCAGCTGCTGAGCGAGAAGGGAGTTGGCATAGAGACAATTGTGTGGCCTACGATTTCACTTAGCTAGGTGGGTCTGGAAGGACTTGTTCTACTTAGAGTCATCTGGGTGTTTGATGGCAAGGAGGGTGTCAGTGGTAGAGACACAGTATGTGAATAAGGGTTGCCTTGTCATTTTGCTTAAGCATTGAGGTCAATTTGATTTAGAGACAGAGTGGTCTCTAAATGGCAGAGTGGTCTCTAAGAATGGCATTGGTCAGGAGGATTTTAGTGGTTACAGAGGCCCTTTTCAACCATGCCAAGCACAAGTAGACTTTTTCTACCAAGAACAAGTAGACATTTTTCTGTACCAAGAACAGGAGTCAGAAGCTTTGCTGGTGTAGTGATTTGGGATTCAGGGGAACCTTTGCATCTCTGTGGCAGGAACTTATGTGTTTGTGCTCAGCCATTGCTGATTTTCAGCTGCCCTACAAAAGCCTGCATCTTTCTGTTTTGTGGGCCCATCAACTATGGGACAAGAGGAATCAATGGTCTTCTGTCCACTCAGCAAGATGAGCAGAAGATGGCGAGGAAATGATTTCTGACAATAGGGCTTAATTACCCCAAAACATAGTGCTTTAAAAATGTTACTAGGTGAAAAAGAGGAATGAATCTAGAGAATTCCTATGATATGGTGAGAAGATGTTAAATTCAGGGTGACCAGTACTGAGCAGGAGTTTCTGTGAATATGAAATTAGATATATCTGGAATGCATTTGGTTGGGTGATCTTGGAGTGCAGGACGGAGGCCAGGGCTACAGAAATAGCTTGGGATATCATTAGCACCTATGTGAGAGCTCAAATCATTAGCTCAAAGGGGTTATTAAAAGAGGACGTATAGAAAGAAGAGCACGATGTAGAAAAGTGAATCACAGTTAAAACCTGTGAAACACCAACATCTAAGGAACAGAAGCACAAATATTTATATAGAAGTTAGACTACTCAGATGGGGAGTATACCGAGGAAGGGTAAGGCATGGAAATCAAGGATGTACAGTTTTGGGAAAGAGTCATTCTCCACCATTCACAAATAGGGCAGAGAGGACCCGTAAAATAAGGACAGGCAATTAACAGGTTTGGCACGGTGGAGATAGTTGGTGGTCATTTGCAGATTTTTGCAAAATTGAGGAAGTATATGCTGGTTGAGATGGAAAAAGCAGCTTTTTAAGATGGGAGAGAATGAGAAATGTGTGACAGTGAGACAGCTAGGGTACGACATTCTTCTGAAGCAGCTGAAGAAGTAAGCTTGGGTAGGCCTTGGTCAAGGAGGGATTTTTTTTCAGGATGGAAGAAATCCAGGTATGTTTATTAGCTAGCAGTAGACAATGGAGGGTCCAAGAGAATGGAAGATTGAAAAACTTGTTATAAAAATGGCTCAGAAAAAATGATGTGATATAAAATTTTACATTGATAAGTAGTTTCTTGTTACAGTTACAGTGTATTCAGTATCAAAAGTCACTAGAAGTGTGTGTATATGTAGGGTATAAGGTCTAACTTTTAAATTGGCTTATTATATTGTTGCTATATGTGCTCAAGTCTTTCTCTCTCTGATCTCTTATCACAGGTGATAGAATTTTTTCTTCTATAATGATATCGAGATGAAAAACAACTAAAATTCCCCCCAAAATCTAGAAACTATGCTAACAATGTTGACCTGCTTAATATTTTAACACAATACAAAATTTAGTGTCATTGACTGACGGGTAACTTACCCCTCTTCCCTTTCCAATTTATCCCCAGAGAAAATACTAATGAGAAAAATCTCTAACATTTCCCTGAGCAAAACAATTGAGCAAATACTACTCCCACCCACATTTCCTAATTCCTACTGAGTGATGCAAGTAGCTTACCCAATGGGAAAAATCATAAAAAAGAACGTTTGTATGATCAGGAGCTTTATACCCTTTTAAAGGTTGTGATAACTTCCCCATGATATATGCCTTTAAATGTGAGTGGAACTAAGTCAGTATGTCAGCAGGGCTGGGGTGTAGCTACAGGATGTTGGAAAGACACAGCCTGGGACATTTACAGAGAATGAATTAAGGAAGTATGACCGTGGACCATCTGCTGCAAAATAACTCACAGTCTTAACACAGGTTTTTGACGCTGAACCTTAGATTCCTTGAGATACGAAGTCAGATATAACAGTTAATTATTTTTTGGGTTTGTCATTAGCAGCCTCACTCGGCTATGCATGTCACGATCAAAGCTCTCAGGAGCTCTGTACACTTGTGGCAGGCAACATTTTTTCTTCCTTCTGTTAGAGCAGTAGAAAAGACTTTGTAGCTCTACCTGACATCCTAGGAAGACCCAGAGCATTTCATATCTTCTTCATTTGATGCTTCTGGCTTGAAAAATTGACAACAAATAATATATGCATTGTTACCACTGGGAAACTTACAAAGCTCCTCGCTTTTATACTTGAACAACTCAGAATTAAAATTTGAAACCAGGGCTAGATAAAGACCCAAAATAGCAGCAGAGAGGGCACAAAAACTACTGTGAATTGGGGAAGTAAATAATGGAAACATAAAAATGCGCTGCACTGTTCTAAAGAAGGAGAGAGATTGTAAGTAGGCTGTTGAATCAAACTGGTTGAATCAGGCAGAGAAGTTTGAAGGTAGGGCCAGGGCTTTACTCCTGCACCAGGCATACACATCTATGTGCCTTAGTTTACCCTTCTATAAATGGGGTCACTGTGAGTTTTAAAGCAATGAATGAAACATAATGTATGAAATGCAAATCAAGTGGTAAATATCCTGAAAGCTACTTATGTTAGAAATGATTTGTTGCTATGCATAAGACTGGGAAGTGTGGGTATCCTCTGAGTGGGGGGGGGCAGTCTCCATGAGCAGTGGTGAAAGATGAGGGTCCTTAATACCCTGAGTACATCTGTTCAGCTGAGCTCAAGGAATAGGGCCAATGGCTCATGAGAGTTTAAAAATATACACATATTCCCGGGTTGCCTACCACCCTGCCTGCCAGCCTAGATGTCGATCAACGGGGCTGTGGTCGGATTTTGGAACCTGCACATTCCAAGTCATCCTCAGTGGCTCTGATGACAGTCTAGGGACTAAAGGGTTAGAAAATGACCAAGAGACAGAGCTAGTTAAAAAAATCCCAACTGTAGCAGTGACTTAAAGAAAAATGTTGGAGGACCTTGAAGCTGTCTGAGGATCTGATGTAAAATGTATGGATACGTTTTAACAATGTAGTATATATTTGAAAAATCTGCATCCATTTCAAAGCCATTTCTTTCACCTCTACAGTTCAGCTACATATCGCTGAAGAAAACCCACAGTAAGTGATTACTTATGGGAACGGAATTCTTTGTGACACAGTTAAGAAGGAATCCAATAGAGGGATTCTTTCACCTGGTTCCTGGTAGGTCACAATGGGAAGAGCCAGCTCTTCACTGAAAACCTGTGAGGACTTTTGCTGGGAAACTATTTTTCCTCGACTCCCTTACGGCTAGGTATGGCCATGTCAGTGGCCTCATCAGTGAAATGAGAGGGACAGTGACACATGCCACTTGCAGGAAGAGAGGGTCAAGAGTGAGCCACTCCTTCCTCTCTCTCTCTCTGTCTCTCAGTAGCAGGAATTGAATCAGGACTTCGTGCATGCCAGGCAGGCACTGTGCCACTGAGCTATATCCCTGGCTCCAATTCGTGTTTTTCTTGCTTTTTAGGCTGGATGAACAGAGAAAACTTGGAAACCACATATTTAAAAATAGAATAGAGACTGGGTTTCAGAGGAGCTGCTGATCAGAAATACTAATTTTGTTTATAAGCAGAAGAAAAACATTTGATATATGTAAGCTGATGAGGTTTTAGCTTGCCTACCTCCTTCTCTGCCTCTTCCCCTCCCCTTCCCTCCCCTCCCCTCCCCTCCCCTCCCCTTCCCTTCCCTTCCCTAATACCAGGCAGTGTTTAGCCTTAGGTCAGCATTTGAGAAACGAGACACACTTGCGGTCTTTTGACCTAGGTCAGTAGGGTAAATGCTTCCCATGGAGGGCAGTGAATTTCATGGATGTTTTCCTAGGAAGCAAAGCAATGAATGAAGCCAGTGTTGTTCTCCAAGCAGTGGTGGAGGTAAGTCAGAGACTTGGGTTGGTGGACTCTTCCCTCTAGGCTAAGCTGTCTCTTCAGCTGAGTGGGTTTCGTTCCAGCAGGATGGTGTGGCACTGACCACATAGTCACAGATTGCAGAGAGCGGAGGGATCTCTTAGTTCCGCTGCCAGCACGTTGTGCTAAAGCCTTTTTATTTGAAAGTGAGGTGATTCTCTTCCTTTACCCTTTGGTATATGTTTGGGAGTTGAAAGAAAAAAAAAAAACAATGCCACTGTGACAGGACCTGCTAGATGTTTCCAAGTCACTAATCACTTTCCTTCACGGACGCACACTAGGCTCATTTCCCTGTGTAGTAGTCACTGCTCCCCACTGCTGGGACTGACCACTGCCGCCCTGCTTACAGGACGGTTTCATTGTTCAGTTTCAAAGGTTTCAGTCCCTGGTCAGCTGGCTCCAAACAAGAACTTCATCATGCAGGAAGCAGAGCACAGTGAAGGGGAGCACCAGGAAGTGACACCTTTCAGTGATCTCCCTCCCTCAAGCAGCCACCTCCCGGTAGCACATCCTGCTATGAACACCAGGGAATTAATCCACTGATGACTGCAGTGCCCCCGATCCGATCACTCTGCAGCCGAGGTGACAGTTCAGATTAACTGGCTCACTCAACTTGACTTGCAGTTCAAGGTAGCTCTGACTGAGTTCTTGCTCATGAAAGAAATGCTGTAAGTGACATTTTTCTGGTCTTGAAACATTGTCCACTTTGATTCAGCTGGGAGATCAATGTCCATTGTGTCCTTGGCCCTTAAATATTGAAGATGGCGAAACCTTATGTTACCTTGGGTGTCTAAATGACTGTGTGAGAAGAACAACCCTACTGAGCTGGTCACCCGCTCAGCAGGAAACAAAGTCCTATTGCATTTGAAGCAGGATACACACTGGCAGTCTCAGTATTTTGGAAGACTGTATCACTCTAATCAGTTTACTCAGCAAACAAAATTTGGCCCATATCACCATCCCTTCCCCTGTTTTTTTAAAACTTTATTTCAACATAACTATGCTTACAGAAATAGACTCATACAGGTTAAAAGAATACAATTTAATTTATCCTATACTATTTCTACCAAAAAGTTCATACCCCCTTTAAAACATCTTTAGATTCTTAAAAAGCTTATAAGTACATGAATATTTAGACATATGCAATAGGTATATATTACACACCAGATCTTTATACACATATATAATACACCTGTGTAAGTGGTCCAAGCACCCAAGTTAGGGTACAAGATGTTCAATAGTCAGGCAATTATTTATTTTGCAAAAAACCACATTGGTTAATGGAAGGTGGAGGGATGGCTATGGATCAGAAAATGTACTCATATTTTTCCTTTTTCTAAGCAACCTGTTTGCTTACATTAAAATATTTGAGAGATTAACTTCAAAATTGCATCTTTTAAGATGAAAGTGGTGGGTGAAAGGCTGAGTCCTCTCAGACTGAGGAAAGCTCTATGGAGGCTTCCCAGGCCCCTGAGGGCATTCACAGCACGTTACGGAACACCTATGTTCAGCGGTGTGGATCGGGTGAACTCTAAAGTTTCTCTTGGATATAATGCAATCTCATCTTTGTGGAAAATGTAACGTTTTCCCATTTCTTGTTTCTAACTGTGTGGCTGACAAATAACACTAAATTCTATTTCCACTTTCCTTTTTGATTAATGGTAACCTAACTAGACTGAACTGATGGGAATCCAATGATATTTTATCTTCCTCTCCAAGGAACCCACATTTGAAAACATCAGGTTCCTGGGAGTCTGACCAAATTGCAATCTAAGATCTGTGTCAACACTTTTGTAATTACTTTTGTAGAAGAAACTTTGATATCTGCTTTTGATGATAGAAATATTGGATAGAGTTAGAGTTGAGTTAAATTTTACTCCTGTGTATGTACGATGATTAATGTCCATCACAATAATTAATAACACTTTCTCTTTTAGCTGTATGGTGAAATCTATTCATTTGTTAGTTTCCGGCCTTATTCTGAAGGATTAGTAAAAGAATTTGTTTCATTTTAAAGAGAAAAAAAGATACAGAATTGCATAATAATAGAATATAAACAATGGTTAATATATTATGTTTTGTTATCTTCAAAATAGTTGCTCAGATTACAAGATATAGGCATACAAAATGGACCAAACAATATAAGAATAAACCATTCTCTTTAATGAACTAAAAAGCATTAGTAGTACAACTGTCTTAGCTATCTGGTGTACGTGTGTATATATATATATTTTTTTTTTTTCCCCTTCCTTCTTTTTTCCTTTCCCCCATCTTAGTTGTTCTTTCCTTTTGAGCAATTTCTTTCCCTTTCATAGTATTTATTGTACTTTTTGGATCTTATTTATTCTTTCAACTTCTTACACTAGGGAGACAGTATGATGTTTTTACATGCATTTCACTTACAAGTATGGTCTCAAGTTGCATCCATTTACTTATACAAGCCTCCAGTTTGTCCCTCTTTATATATGAGTAGTGCTCCATTGCATGAAAACACCACAACTTTCTTATCCATTCCTCAATCGATGGGCATTTGGGTTGTTTCTAAGATTCAGCTATTACAAATTGTGCTGCTATAAACATGGGTGCACATATATCAATGTGCTGTGATGTTTTTAATTGTGGGATAATACCCAGAAGGGGAATAGCTGGATCAAATGGAACCTCTAGTGCTAGTTTTTTGGAGAATTTCCATACTGACTTCCACAGTAGTTCTATCAGTCTGTATCCCACCACCAGAGGATGAGTTCCTTTTTCCCCACAGCCCTGCCACCATTTGTTATTGGTTGATTTCTTGATGATAGTCATTCTTTGGGGGGTGAGAGGGAATCTCAGTGTTTTTTAATGGAACAATTCTTTTTTTTTTTGGTACCGGAATTGAACTCAATCTTATGCTTGCCTGGCAGGTACTTATGCCACTGAGCTAAATCCCCCGCCCCTCAGTGTTGTTTTAATTTGCATTTCTCTAATGTGAATGAGAAAATCTTGACTGATCTTATCAGTCAGGAAAACAGATGGGATAATTAAACTGGGTAATAAATAGAGTAACAAATAAGGACAAAGTGTATGAACCAGGGATTAGCACAGTAGGTATCTGGAAGCTAATAACAGTGGGAGACTATCATTGTCTGTGGGCCTGAAGGCAATGGAGGAAAGCTTTCTAGAACCAGCAGACAGGAAAAGCACATGAACAGAATTGTCTGAAAGAAGCTATGGCCTCTGGTTGAGAGAAACTGGCAGCTAATAGTTCCTTTAAGCCAGGAAACGGAGCAATAACTCAACATCACTGTTCTCGCCTGCCTCTCTATCTGCAGGGAAGTCCTGGTAACCAATCAATGGCCAAATGGAAACCAGAGACCAGGGAAATTCACTTACATAATCTATACAAGTCAGCTTAAGGGGCTAGAGAAGTGAAGAGGAAGATAAAAACTCGATGTGCAAGGACAAACAAAATACCTGTCTATTGCCCAGGGATCTCTGTTATGAAATTGAAGAGTACTAGTAAAAATTAGAGTAATTAGTACTCTTAGAAATCAAAGTTAAAGAACTGATCATTAATTTAAGGTGCCATGCCATAGATAAGATTCTTCTTAATCATAAAAATATAAGCACTTGAGTTCTTTGTTCCACTGTGATATTAAAGAACCACATGGGCCATTTCATTTAGATTAGTTAAAATTAAATAAGGTTTCGGATCCATTTTCTCAGTGCCCATGCATGTCCTATGGCTAGTCACTGCTGGTTTAGGAAGCAAATGTAGAAGACATTTCTTCACTACAGATAGTTCTGTTGGATACTACTATTCTAGTGATTTAATTGTTAATTGCTTAATTTTTCTTTGCTTTGACTCAATATGAAAGTAAGATGACCATTGGGATTATTTATTATTCCCCCAAATTTAGTTCTTCCAAATATTATACAAATACACACATTAAAATATCTTATTGTGGGTAAATTAGAGTTTAGTTCCTGCAAATAAAAGATCTGGTAACTTGAGCAAAAATGAAGAAAAATTGAAAACAGTTGATAAAGCCTTGATTTTAGTCTAGTGAATCTGATTTTAGACATTTGGTCTCCAAAAACTCTGAAAAATTTTATGCTTTAAGCTTTAAAATTGTACTAACTTATGTAGCAAGAATAGAAAACTGATATAGTATTTCAATGATTTGTATTCCTCCAAAATTCAACCCTATATGACAAAAATTCTCAGTAGAGAGAATTTAACTGTAATTCAGTGTTTTTTCCTTTGGAAGTGATACTATAAGATTGATACAAAGGTTCAAAAAGTTCCTACTGTCTTACAAAAAACGTAAACTATATTAACTACTTTCCCAAAAGGAGATAGCCCAAAATTATGATTAGTTCCTGCGTCTTGCTCCAGATGTGGAAAATCTAGGCAATGTTTATCACTCACATCACTTTCTTATGATCAATTGAATTCTGATGCTACCCACATTATGGCCTAAATGGCAAGGTTAATCAATCACCTTTGCTAAACACTGTTTACAATATTTGATGTAGGACTCAAAAAGGAGCATGGAAGTTGCTAACAGAGGAATGACTTAGTAATGAAGAGGATGTGAGTGAGGATTAACTTTTTGTTCCTTGCACTTATAATTTTTTTATTTTTGAAACTGGGAACCAAACTCTGTACCTCGACCTTGCCAGGGAGGCGCTGTGCCACTGAGCTATATCCCCACCCCTTACATTTATAATAGCTTCTATACTTCTAACTTCAGATCTCTTGGCAGGAGTGGATTTCCCAGTGATGTACTTCAAACATTCTCTCTTTGAATATCTGAAACTCTGGTGGTTCTTGGTTTTTACCACTGAGCTTGGTTGTAAAAGTTGCCCCTGGGAATTAGCTGGGTTCCAGCCATTTTCCTTGATCCTATTTAGTAGCAGTAGCCACTTCAGGATCATGATCACAACTGAAGCACTCCTTTTGCGAGTGCTGTGAGGATCCCTAGTGATCATCTAGCAGTCTTAGCTTTCATGTCAGTGGTTGATTGGTTCTCTGCTTGGGAAATTCCTTCCTTGTACAGGAATTTGCTCTTTTCCATGGTAAAAAGTCCTAAGAAGCTAAGGTATTTGGGCCTGGGAGATCAAATGCTTAGGGGATGGATAATTTTGTGTGATAGAAAACTGCACTAAAGTTGAATTTCAAAAAGAAATGGAATATTTTGAGTACTGAGTGATGTGATCAGTTTTGCATTTAGAAAACAGTACTGTCGTAGAAACAGTCTTAGAAACAGTGCTTTGTAGTTAGAAAACAGTAAATATATTTTCTTTCTTCCAAGAGAGGTTGTATGGGACAGGTGAGTTTCTTTTCTGCTCCATTGTAAGCACCAGAGATTACATCTCACTTGCCCTTACAGAGTGAGAAGGGTCAGGGCCAGTTTATTAGATTATTGCTCCTTGAGGAGCCCTGAGATCTTGCTTCTCTACCTTCTGAGCCAATGTCACAGTGAAATCTCAAGGTATCATATCTTCCCCATCAATCTTTAGGCAAAAAGTTAGCTTTGTATGTACTAGTATTTCCATGTCACTTTACTTTTGAGGCAGTGTTGTGCTAGCTCAGTGCTGCATTAAAAACCAACTTGGCTGGGGTGTAGCTCAGTGGTAGAGCACTGGCCTAACAAGTGCGAGGTGTGAGTTGACCCTCAGCACAATGACAAACAAAAACCAAACCAAGCAAAAACAACTCATGCTCAAATCCAAAGCAACAACAACAGAGCAAAAACGCAAAGGTAAAATGAACTTAAGAGATGTGCCTGACGTCTATTTGATTCAAAAGTGTTGCTTAGGGTGTGTATTCTGCCACTCTCAAGTATAGAAGTCCTTCCATCTTTAAAAATATAGACTCAGAGTGAACATGGCACTCTTAAGATCACACAATTCTTTTGAACAGCCACCTAAGCTTTGTAGATACTAATTTTAAGACAAGACCAAAGTCAGGCTTTCTAACAATGCCTGGCACCTTGCTATTTCTTCTATACTTAAAAGGGATCAATGACTTAATAAAAGATGATTTGATTATGAGAAATAGTCTGTTAAAATATGCTAAGCTGAAAGGAAGATTTGGGCCACAGAATGGAAAGATAGGAGGTAGCATCTGACCTCAGCAGGGTTGACAGGGGAGCTGTGAAATCACCCAAACCCAAGGCCACTTCCATTTGCTTCATTCTCTTATTTTTTCCTATCAACTGGACTTTTTCTTCTCATCTTGTAGAAGATGAAAAAATGATAATTTCCTGTAAAATATCTCACAACTCAAATGGTCAACAATGGTAAGTTGGGGTCTCTCAGTCCAAACTCTAATGCAATTTGTGCAAAAATATATAATTGGCTTAGTTTGGAGCTTACAGTTACCTTCAGTCAGAGTGTCAGGTTGAGGTACGATGGTAGATTTCATGAGAATGAGACATAGAATCATTGTTTAAAAAGAGAAAGCAGAAAGGAAATGGGTAAAAGGGAATATGTACTCATCTCTACTACACCAGGTCAGTCTCTGTCTCTCTATCTAGTCTACAGCTTTACCAGACTATGAATTACTGTGGAAATTTGGAGCATACTAATACTCTTAAAACAAAGGCATGACTTGTTTCCTCGTTTGATAAACTGAAATAAGATTAAAAAGATCTTTAGCTTCATATTAACCTTTTGTTCATGTAATATGCTCGGTAAGGTGGTGTATGTATCCTTTCCAGGGTCAGTAGGAATAAATCACCAAATATGGTGCAATGCTGCATTCTAGACAGTGTGTGCAAAATATAAGATGAAAAGAGAAGAAAACTAAGCAACAAAACCAATGATAACAACATAAAATAATGACAAATAGGTTTTTTTTTTTTAGCTGATTTCTTGTTGATTTAAGAAATGGGACAACCAGGTCCATCATGAACATAAGACCTGCTTAAAACTGCTACTGATTGTGATCAAGTTTTATATTTTATTTAACTAAAAGTCTTTAGGAGTAGTTCTTTCCTTGATTTTTAAAAAAATTTCTTATAATCATACCTGTAATTCAGGTTCTTTTGATATTGAGTAGACGAAAAGATAAATGCAAAGAGTGTGTGTGTGTAACAGAGGGAAATTACTTAGATGAATTAAGGGAAAGTTTAATAAAGTTTAGGAAATGAATGTAAAGATAAAATAAATCTAAACCTGTTTGAGAAGATAGGAAAAAACCAGGGCTACACCATTGTTTTTGTGTCTATGGAGAGAATGGCAAGGATGGCTGTAGAAACCTGGGATAGAAAGAAATGAAACAATTTAAAATAGTTTACAGTTGTTAGGAAAATGGTCCATCTACCCCTTAAACACTACCTCGTCCACTAGTGCTTTCCAATTTTGTATATGTGAAATAGATTGTGTTTTCTGTAGCCTTTGAACCACATTATAATAACTATCAGAATATATAATAAACTTATTCCAAATTGAACTACTCATGGGTTATTCTGTGTAACCTTCTTTGGTTATGTTATGTCATGGGTTATGGCTCTACTAAAATAAACTTTTCTTAGGATAATTTACATCTTGGAAAATAGTTTTGACTTTCAATTTCTTTCCTCCAAAAATCATTTCAGCAGATAATCAACTAGGACCTTTTTTGAGAGTTCATAAACTCTTATAAAGAAATGTGATGGATCCAGATATACTATACTTCAAAGAGCTTAGGGACTGCATTATTCACCAGGGTAGACAAAATTCTCAACTAATGAAATGCCTGGCAAAGTGTATGTGCACAATTATTATTTGTTGGATGAGTTAGACAAGGAACATGTTCTATTATTTCCAAGGAGATTAAATGACATGATGTACTATATTGGATTTTTCATTTTATTTTTCAAAATATAATCATGTGAGTCAAATAAAAATAATTGTAGTTGTCAGATTGATTTGTAATTCAGTATTGAAAATCTGGGAGTTTCTGAGTCAGAGGGTGATGGTGAAGGTTGAATCTACATAATAGACCTTAACTGCTAGTTTGTCCCTGAAAACCTATCCAGAGCTCACTGACAGTAAAAGGAGTAAGAATTATGAACTGGACACATAACTTATCATTTTTTTATATGGCATTGACCTTGAATAGTGATAAATACATTAAAATGTCATAAATAATAAATCATGTAAGCCTGTTTTATTTTGGAATTTTAAAATTAAAATCTTAGGGAAGATAGGACAAAATGATGTAATAAATTAGAACCCTTGTTGAGTAAAATTAAAATTAAATTTTAATTATGATGGGAAGCTCTTTCCCTTTTCTCATATAATCAGATCTAGAAAAAATGTCAATCGATGATGTAAAATATTTTGCTATTTCTAATCTGCTGGCTTGAATGTCTCAAGGGTAGGGTTAATGTCCTATTCTTTTTTCAGTTCTCAAGGTCCTTACACAGGCTCTTCTCTGTTTTCAAGAGGAAGTTAACTAACAGTGTTAAAAGCCACCCAAAAATTAGTCAGATAAGCAAGTGGTTTGCCTCTTTATGGCTAGTTTTATTTGAAGTATTTTAGACTACTTCAAAAATCCACTTTGGACTTCTTCCCTTTCCCTAATAAGATGTTACTGTGCAAATGTTACTTAAAAAATGTTGAGGCTATTTGAATGGCAAGGATGTCACCAAAATTATTATATAAAAATTCCATTTTCCTTGGGGGCAAAAGGACAAAAGTGCTACAGACGCAGGCTTAACTTTCAGGTTTGAACTGAATGTATCTTGAAACATGAGGCGATTCATCCTTGGTTGACTAAAGCAATGCTTATGATAAAGTACCTTTTACAGAACCTATTTTGGAAAGTGTAAGTCTGTGACAGGCAATCAGTTGTTTTTCAGGAAGAGCTAAGGACAGTGTTAAAAGCCTTAATGTTGATGAGAAATGGGTTTTCTGATGCTTAGGGGGTAGAATGGAATGTTTGTTAAAAAACAGGTTAAGTTTTAAGGAAAACTGTAATTGGAACAAGATGTCACTGAAATGAAGTATTAGGGCAGGTTAAACCTCTAGTCAGAATGATAGGCCTGAAAGATGATTTTCCTGGGCTTGTCTTTGCCGGATTAAAGGATGCTCAGTTCTGTTAATTGCTGCATGGACCACTGACCTCTGTATTCAGCCTTGACTTTTGCTCCTTGCTTGAGATTCATAGATACACATTCCTGGTGGAGATCTCATGCAGCCTAAGATCGATTTTGCATTTTTCCTCTTTTTCCCAGTGCTCCCCAAGAATGGCCCCATTCCAATATTCCAGTCACTGTTAATGAAATTACCCTTCATTCGTTCTTTCAAGACAGAAAACTAGGAGTTATCCCATCAGGGTCGCCACCTGCCTTTCCAGTGCTTTAGTGGAATAGAAAGAGCTGACTCTTTTGGGCACCCAAGGATCCTACTCCATAAGCAAATCACAAGCTGGATCTTATCCCTCACTTCCCGTGTTGTCAGCTTGGTGTTCTTGTTCAGAGCAAGACATGTGTGAGTATGTAGGACGATCCTCATTCTAGTTCTTCTACTTTCTCTCTCACATTTCGACATATAAATATCCTGTAGTCTACAACTCTGCTTTATCATCCTTTAAATTAAATAGTTAACAGAAAAAGTGTATGTTATTTAGGAACACTTTCTATAAGAATGTAGCAAATGCCAGTGAATCCACAACCTTTCTAAGAGCCAGAACATTGCTGGCATCTTGCCTGGATCTTTTTTGCTTGATTTTTATTTGATTATGAATAGATGTTTGTAGTACATAATGTTTGTCTTAATTATTTTTCTCTCTGATTGTTGAGACAAAATATCTGATGCCCAAAGTTAAGGAAGGGAAGGGAAGGCCAGGTTATTTCTTCTAGGTTGGAGGTTTCAGTGCACACTCAGTTCAAAGGCAAAGTGACATGGCTGAGGGGCAGCAGTTCATGGCATCAGTAAACTGCTAAAAAGAGAATCACACCTTCTTCCCTCTATTACACTGTGCGGCTCCTCCCCTGGAGGAGGGCAGCACTCATACCACCAATCCTAGTGCTAGACAATGAACCAATCATAAATGCTAGATTTGGCCATGACCATGATTGCATGAAGCTTGGGGGAGGCATCTGAACACAAACCATGGCAATGTTTGCATTCCTTGTGGGGAGTTGGTGTGTGAACACCACACATCTTGATTCCTTTTACATCCTTTTCCTCTCTTCTCCCTCCCTTCACTTCTTGATCCCCTTCCCTTTTGAAAGATCTAGTTCCTTACTTCCTATTATCCATGTTTTATTTTGTTCTTTATTTATATATAATTTGTTTCTCATGTAAGAGAACCATGCAATATTTAAGCTTGTGAGTCTGATCTATTTCACTTAATGTTATGGTCCTTTTTTATCTTATTATCCTACCTCTGTCACACCTTGCTCTATGCTACAGCTTCCTAATTAGATTTCATCTCCCTTATGTGTGGGTGTCAACCCATGAACCATATCACACTGATGTAATGATAGCACTCCTATACTTAACAACTCTCCCACAGCTTTCTAGTTCCTAGAGAAGGATGCTCAAGTTGTTCAGTATGACAAAGGAGGCTGTGCAAGTTCTGTCCCCACATATGTGTCAATCAGTCTGTTGCCACCGGCAACTATTATGCTGGGAGAAACTAAAGGGGATCCCCATACAGAGGACTCTGCATCACCTTACCCTCCCCCTACTGCCAACACTTTCATTTCTGGCTGTCTCTGTCCATCTCTATCTCTTGATTTCTAGCTCTTTGAGGACAGCAAACACGTCTCATTTATTTCTCTTGCCCGTTTCTGGAGCATGATAAGGTTTCAAATGATTAAACTCAAATCAAGAGGAAGTCATATCTATTTGGGTAATGTCAAACTATCATTCTACATATTTGTCTTATTTATTGATTTTTTTAATTAATTTTTTGAGACAGGTCTCACTATGTAGTGCAGGTTGGCTATAATCTCACTTGTGTAGCTGGCCCCAAACTCATGGTGATCCTCCTGCCTCAGCCTCCCCAGTGCTGAAATTATAGGAGTGCATCAGCATACCCAGTTCTAAATATTTGTTTTAGATACAAATGCTTATCTAGGCAGTTGTTCTGAAGGACTTTTGTTGTGTACTTAATAATTCTTTGCTGTTGTCATCTAGACATAGCCTCTAACTTACCTTGGGGAAATTCTTCAACCTGAGGAATTATGCAAGGGATTTGGCAGTTCAAAGAGTCAGGAAATAGTGTTGGCCCCACTGTCCATTCCTAATGTAATTAAGTGAAGCCAAAAATCTGGGTTGACATTGCATGAACTCAGCCTCTTCG